ATATATATATATATATATATATATATATATATATTATATATATACATTGTTACGTCAATTTCTCTATAAGTATTGGTCAATTTTGACCGACAAATATAATCTCTAAATGTTCAATGTTATAACTTCGAGTGACAAAAATTTAAATTATAAAAGGAGGTCGACAAATTTTTCTCTATCGTGTCAAAAAGAAGAGGCTTCGGTAGTCATTAATTATTTATGGTATATTTATGGTATGTATATTTGATATTTATGGTATGTATGTATATTTATAGTATATTTATATTTGTGGTATATATTTCCATGAGAGAGCGGAAAATTTCAACAATACAAGATCGCAATAAATATTTTCGTATTTCGGACATTTAATATTCATATGCGTTCGTGCATATTTAAATGATCAGGAGGCATAATTAATACCGAAGCGAGTAATTGTAAGTGCAAGAAAAGATGATTATTGCAAATTTATTAGTTATAAACCGCGATATACACATTGTGAGAATTTGCAAGGCAGCCACGCGACGATCGTTTTAGCGATAATTTTGTCCACAGGCTTGGGCAAAGAATTATACACATTAAAGTACTATACGTATACTTAAAATTTACTTCAGGTGTAAAGTCCGAGATACGAATTTCTAACTATCCCGGGGCATTTTGTGCATTTAACAACGAAGTACGAGATATTATTAAGAACGCGAGGATTCAACTCAGAATACAAAATACGTACTTTGCATTTCACTCGTGACTTCGTGTTCGATCGATAATGCGAAACAGCAATGTTAAATTTGAAATACTGCCCAATCCTGAGCGCCCACGTTACGTCCCGTTCGTTATTATTATTAATATCCTGTTGTGCCGTAGATGGCAAAGTTGTATAGTTGTGCGATACGTTTTCATTAAAATTGTTGCTAGCCGGTGCGTACGATTTGCCTTCGTCGTTCACATTCATTGCGACACGCGAGAAGTTGCGGATACGCGATACCGATAATGAATCATTACGTGGATCGTTGCGTTTCGATCGTTTTCCTGTTTTATATTCTCCCAAGAGAAATTTCAGATGCCAAACAAACACAAATTCGACAGTCTTTTTCGTTACGTTACTTACCATATTTTTTTTCCTTTGCAAATCGCTCCGTCGACGAGGAACTCGGTTCTGCTTGCAGCATACGTGAGATGTCAATCGTTATATTTTTAATTAAATTTAAATTACTTTTATTCCCACAATAAAATATACAAAATGTTCCAAGAAAGTTGGACATGTATGGCAGAGATTTAGTTTTAGTCTTATTAATTAATATTTTATTATTAAAGTTCTATTCGAGATCCCGTTCTACAACTTGGAAATTAATAAATTCGTCGCAATGAATCGATTAACTTCTTTGAAAAACCTTAATCTTCTAATTGGGAAAATTAAATTATATTAAATTCCTCCTTGTGTTCTCCAGATTGATCGTTATCATGCGTTTAACTCTCTTCACGTCAATTATTAGAAATGAATAATTATCATTTGTCGCGAAGAAATCAAAGTTTTCAAAAGAAGAATCGAATAAAGGATAAAGTTCTGCTGCTGATGCACATCATTCTTGGAATATTCTATATCTGATACATTCTCGCTGATCCTCGTCACCATTTGCGTTTCTTTTCGTTTCCACGAACAACGACATATCTGTGATGCGTACTTGTACGAGGAGTATTAACAAAATGTACCTAATATTGATACATAAAATATATGTATATTCGCGCGGCGATCTTATCTATTCTCCTCGCGAGTCCGTAATGGCTATTTCTCTACTCACTCATGTTACAAGTTACTCTATAAAAACCTTCATTGTTATCCCCTCCCTCTCCCTCCCCCCTCCCTTTCTCGCATTATAACTATTACACTATTGATCTATTACATCTCGTCGAGGTATCGGCCGGACGTTCTTATTGTAAGTTTGTTAATATTACTCAGCTATCTAATTGTATTCTCACTGTAAACTCCATTATTTATATACTAACCCACGAGACGTCTAACGTGTCCTTTTAACAATTAATTGCTGGTACACATGGGTTACACGAAAAAAGAAGAGAAAAAAAAAGAAAGAAAAATAAAAACTGTTGTTGATTGTACGTTATAAAAGGACAATAAAAGAAAATATTATGTACCTGACAGTCCTAATTATGTTATCCCGAATCTCGTCTGAAAGGGACAATCGGATTCAAATGAAAAATTGCTTATTATTTAATCAAAAGTTCGATGAAAACGTGCGGCCTAAGCGATGTAAAGAAGACATATGCATATCTATTCAGTGAGATAATGTACAAATAAATAAACGTGCGTCCGGGAACGAATACAACATTATATTTCGTGAATCGTCGTAAATGTTGGCTTGAAATGATAGCGAGATTGGTATGATAGCAATCTACAAGCGTTGCAAGAAATTTTCCTAATAACTTTTTCTGATCATTTGGCCCGATCATTCATCTCTCATTCTCCAACAAATTTATAGTGAACATTCCGATATAGATCAACTTTCACCGTAAGAGTGTCGATCAACAAGTCAATCCGGCCTCCAACTTCATTCCTCATGAAAAACACGCATATGATATTTTTAATTTATCCAAAATAAAATATGTAGAAATAAACAAACGTGATATTCATAAAGAATCATTTTTTAATATAATGCTGAAGAATTACGAGGATGTTTCAAAAAGCAAGGACTTTTACATTAAACATTGATCTTAAATATTCTCCTCGAAAAAGATGTCAACACTTTTTTTTTTCAAAAGAGGAATAAACGAAAAAATATATATTAACAGAAAAAAATATAATCTTTTAGAAAAAGTAAAATAACTAAAACTGCTTTTCCTTTTATTTCTTTTTTCCTTTTCTCATTTTTTTTCAGAGATTAATTTCATAATCAAAACTTAATTTTAATTAGGAATTAAACTACTTAATACACAGCATTAAAATAAAAATACGATCTTTTTTATTCTTAAGTATATAAAGATGTTACGGAGACGTATCGTTATTCTGTGATTCATCCTCACATGATAATTGGGATAATTGGGATAATTGGGTTTATGGAATACAAAAACGAGAATATGAAGAGCGATTTTATTATACTGGAATTTCAACTCCTTACACAGTGATCATTGTTAATATACAGTTAGGTGTGGGTATCGACATAGAATATCGAGTATAGAGCGCACTACTTCACCATCGCGTCGCAGCGATGATGATTATAGTAACGATGAATAGCGTGATGATAATCATATAGCGATAACGATGACACCAATGTTCAGCCGTAACTCTCTCACTATGCTAATTGGATCTCGCTTAACATTACAAGTACCAAGCGGTCATTCCTAACTATTTTTATTGTTATAAATTAATATTTTTTTCTACGCGATCAAAGATAGAATTCAAAAATTTTCTAATTTTCAATATTCCATCGGAATAAAGAGATTAATCGATGAAAAATTAGAAAATTCAAAAATTGTGTGTATTTAATATGTAGGAAGGATATTAATTTAAAAAAATTAAAATGTTTAGAAATGACCGTTCGCTACTTCTAGCATTAAAACGTTCTTGAAGTGCTTGTGGGGAGATTCACGCGTCCTCTTCGTTCGCATTCGTCTCACGGGCGTGACGCCGTCAATCGTTGCCACTATTGTTCTCCCAAAGTACTTCCGTTCACGATAGAAACCGATATGCGATGAAACAGCTAATTACGAAACGATAAGATCAGACACACCGACCGAAACCGAAGCGCGTTAAGCGACGTCGACGCGGCCGACAGTTCGGTATCAAAAAAATTTGTTGTCGTTGGGAAGTGAATTTTTTTTTTGTTTTTCTTTTTTTCGTGCGGATCTTTTCAAGTGATAAATGTCGCTCGCCCCCACGTCGAATAACGCGCTATAACGGATATTATACGTCGACGCGGGCCCGCGGTGTCTCGTGTGCGGCGTACGTGAGTTGGGAAATTGCGTTCGGTATTTTCGTTTCTTTATGTCTCTATGCGCACGTATAGGCCATAATCGCTTCCCTTTATTGCCCGTCGCCCGTTCGCCACGAAATGTAGGTATAAAACCGCGCCGGTTGCGCGGACTCGCGAAAACCGTAAGAACGAGTCTCATAGAAAGGAGTCTCCCGTTCTCGCAACGAGCACCTCTCCGGGCCCGCGTCCGGTTTTGTAAAATTGAGCGCCCCGCGCGCTATATCCGATGACCTACATATCGATTTATGTAGAGAGTTAAAATTTACTTTTTACCCCATTGTTCCGCCGACATCCCCCGTAACGTGTTACATAACCATCTTCCATTATTACAACGACAAGCAATGTAGAGATATGAAGTTGATGGTTCTTTTCAATCTGGTAAACATGGTAAAAGGTGATACCTACTATCCAATTTTAATCATGCTAGATAAGATGGACCGTTCTATTCTATATAAAGATACTCCGTTTAGCCTTTATTCATTTCGTGGCGTCGCGGCATCGCGTCGAACGCGACTAAGAAACGGGACAAAATTGTCGGATATTTATCTTAAAGTATAACTATAGTATTAGCACTATAGTGATAATAATAATAATAGTAAACGCCTATCTACTATACGAATATCTTTAACTGCGTTATATCAAATGTATTGAGTACACTGGAACGATATCTAAACTTAATCAGCCTCTTTATAATCAACAGCTATAAAACTCATCCTGATGTGTGTTGTAAATTTTATCTTGGCTATGTATAATTATACGTATATCATGAATGCGAGTCGCTCGAGTCCCGCCGGAAGGACTCAATTCGACAGGACGATACGTTTGTAAATCGTACACTTACATCTATTTCATGTGAAGCCTTACAAGCAAGATTCGGACGAGTGCTATTCATTTGTTTGCCAAATTGTTTTTACAGATGTGCAAACCAAAAATGCTATCATCGTTTTATTTTCTGTAAATAAAAATTGTTATTTGTTGTTTATTTTGCGACAAGTGAAAAACAAATGAAAGGTTAATAATTGGGACCAATTTTATATATATACTAATAATCTTGTCGTAATTTCTATATCCTTTAGATTCAATTACAACAAATTTATTTGTAAAAATTTTAATACTGCAATCTCTCTCTTTTAAAACAAATTGCAGCGTTCATCCAGTTTTGCGTTACAGGCATCGCAAGTTACAACAACGAGAGGAAATATGTTGTTTTGAATTTCGTCTCCTTAAAACCGCGGGAGAGATTTAATTATGGTATAGTAAGCGGCAAACTTGCGGTAAACTGCACTCTGCACACTTGCTCGCTTATCGACTTCACATAAGTGAGAATTAAAATCGTATATAGTCGCTTAAATTAAACTTATGGCTTACACGCCTACGGATTCTATCACAATTTGCCTAAAGAAAAAAAGAACATATCACCTTATCTATGTAACCGAAATCTTTCTGCCATCACCATCTGCAGCATGAGAATGTACTCTCCGGCATCCAGGGAAGGATGTGCCGACGAAGAGTGACGAGAGTCACACATTAATTTCCGATCTTGAGCCTTGCCGATATTAAAGCAATTCGTTCGAGTCACATCAAATTAATATCGTGTTCGTGAGAATAAAACAAGTCGACCGACTGGAGGAGAACGGAGCGAGAAGGCGGGATTGAGTCTCGCTATTGAAACTTGAGCATCGCAAACGACTCGGCTTGACTCTCTGTATTGCGAAAGTATGATCGAAGGCTTCAACGAAACGATGATCGAACACTCTTTTTTGAGAATCTGAAAAAACTAAGTTGAAATTCAAAATTTAATTCCAAGATCAAAAAACTAGAATACGTGAGACTAATTATCTCTACTTCTCAAAAGAGTTAATTCACCGCTGCATTGAATCTTTCAATCGTAAAGGCATCGCTCTCAACGTCGCAAATTTCTCGCACAAGTGCCTCTCATAAGCTCGATGGGAGCTTAATCCATCTAATCCCACGGTTCCATCTCGGAATAACGGAATTGAAGAGACTCTCGGAGAAACGTCCTGGAATCCATCCAATTACGATTTTATTCTTAGCGATATTACGTTACATTCCAGATGTCACATCTAGGCTGTCAAAAGTGGAACAGTGGGACGAAATGGAGCAAAACAGAAAAAGCTGCACGAATATTGTCTCGCCCCGTATCCGCAAGAGAAATTTGTCCTACTTTTTGGCACACGCTTCCCTCATATTTCATCTCGTGACTTAGGGCCGTTTATTACAACGGTAGTGTAAATCAAATCTTGAAAATCTTGTCCAAGTGATTTAGAGTGAATACCGTAACGGATTAGATTGCACCGATAAAGGTGACAACCGCGCGTTTAAATATTCTTAAATATTAAAAATCAAAGATTTAAAAACAAATTTGTATTTTTTTTTTTTTTAAGTCTATTCGTACCACCCTCGTAATAAACGGCGTCAATTTCGCGAATTCTACTCGTTCTCACTCACGTGAATCAGAATAATTGGACGAGTCGTCCGTGCGATTACTCGTAACATTCTTTTGCATCTCTCAGTCATTATCCTATGACAGAACGAACAAATGCTATTGAGTGAGCTACATACACGAGTATGCGTATTAGACCGTTACGATTAATGTAAATATATTGTCGAATATATCCATATAGAAACCCAAGGGTGTCCGCGTTCGAGTCCTCGGCGAAACGTTTGCGACGTTTCGACCGACGATCACTCAACTACTTTCGTAGGTTCTCGATCAAACCCGTGGAATAATTAGCACACGTCGTTGATGACACGAGCACGTAGGCGGCTCTCCGGATTATGCACCGTATACTTTTTCGAAGCACCGAACAGAATCGAAACCGCGACTGGCAAAAGTTCACAAGTTCATCCGCCGGCGTTTCGATGATCGATATACAGATCGCCCGATTAGTTACCGTATTAATCTTCATTATACGTACAAGGGACAAGGGTGCTTATAATTAAATCCTGGTGTTGGTCTGAGATTGTGTCCGGAGGAGCAACATCGATATATCACCTCGTGCGATTTCGCAAATCACAACTCCGATTCATTTAGACGAATAAAAAGACGCGTACACTCACTTTCGTTAACTCTTCGAGTATTCTTTTCATACGTTAAAAGGTAAATAATTAGCATTTAAAATAAAAAGTAAAGCAAAAAGTTGAATAAAAAAAGTTTTTCAGTTAATTCTTTTGTCCGAAGTAACCATTACATGGTAAAGTCTCTTAAAGAGATAATATATCCTCTTTGTAACAACGTACCCCAAAGAGTACCCTTTTCTTCTTCTTGATACTAAGTCATAAGCTTGCAAAGCGCATACATCTGCGATCGTGAAACTCCAACAATCTTTTCCCCACTACAATACAATCGTAAGCGTGACGTGAGTTTGAAAATCCTTAGACTCACCACACGCTCCTCCACTCGACCGATACTTCGTCTATCTACGTATTTACAGGACTAGAGTCTTACTTAAAATCTCTCGGCTGCCTGCTCGAGGAGGGTCTCGAATCCGGGGGGGATTGCCGAGAATCGATCGCAGCATCGTCGAGCAAGCAGAATATTATGAGCATAACACGAGTGTTGCCTTAAGGATTACGCTTACCTTAAATATACTACGCGATTAGTACCCGCCATTTCTCCTACGATAAGAGTTACCTCATCAACGCAAAAATCTTCTTGGTATTCCAGCTAGCACCATTCTATGGAGTACCATTGAGACGCTCCTTAACGTATATCGCTGAGCATATATTCTATATGCCGCTAAACTTTGCGTTCGTTAAGTTACGTTTTCAACCTTACTTAAATGATAATTAAATCTTTCAATATGTATAATTGAATATTCACGTAATAA